ACAAGCTCACTATTCAAGCAAGATAGTCAAGCTCATTTATACAGCTTCTTAAACAACTACCTCTATGTGACGCTGCTGACTAGCCACTGCTTCGGTTCCGTTACATTACAGACTTGAAGTTCTTTAAATCAATTCAGAATTGATTCAGAATCAATTATTAGTCATTTTATAATTAATTAATAACTGATTTCTACACATCTGAGAGTTAATCTCTGTGTTTATGACATAGATCTTCATGAAACAACTGAATACAATAAAGATTGAGATCTTGATCTCAATGATGAAGATATTATCTGAACTAATAAGACAGAAGCTCTGTTATTATCATTCAAATCAATAATCTCATTATTATATGAAACTCAGATGTGTTTTCATCACTGAGATTCTAATCAATTATCAGTCAGTTGACAATTGATTGTATTATATTCAACATATCTTCTTATCTAATATGACACTGATAATGAGCCTTTATAGTATCTGTATAATAGAAATGATGAATTTCATGTTTACTGTGAGCTTTGTGTTGAAGCATATTCTGTTTATTCAGTTTTCAATCACTAATGAATGAATTGATTAATAAGTGATTGATAATTGATTAATAAATGATTAATAATAACTTCACTCATCTCAGTACTTTCTGAAGAAGACTTTAATCTCTTGTAAAAGTATAGAACTTGTTATAAGTCTGCTCTGCAGTATTTGTATAATTTCAAACTGAATTATACACTGCACAAGATATCAAACTATAATATTTATTCAATTCAGAAGCAATAACACTATTTTTTTTATAAATAGCTCAATTTTGAATTTTTTTCAACTCATATTCTATCTATTAATTAGTAATTAATTGTCAATTACTTTTGAATTACTTATGAATTAATAAATTACATAATTTCATATAATCATTCTAGAATTTGCAATTCAAAAGACTTGTTATATAATTTCAAGCTAAGATATCTCAATTCTGAGTTCTCACTATGTTGAAAATGCTGTGAAAAAAATGAATATGATAAAAGATAAGAATATTCTTCAGTTGTCAATCAAATAATTAATATTCAGAGTCAATAGATGTAAGATATTATACTAGACCTAAGTGAATTGATTAGCAGAGAGTTGTCAATTAATTATTAATTGAATATCAATCAATTATCAGTTATCTATTTTATATATATATCTGTAATAATTGTCTGTATTCTCAATTTATATAGATAGTTAAAAGAAACAGATTGATTCTGCAGCTTTTATACTACTGCAAATATTCATTGAAATAAGTGATAATATTTCTCAGAATTTTTCTGCTCTGTAAAGATTTAACAGAAGATAATAACTAATCATGAATTGATTATTAATCAGTTGTAAATCAATCAATAAATACTTTAAAAAGCACTCACTTTTTCCATGCTGAGAAAGATATGTTGCAAAGATCATCTCATTCATTTTTGAAGATTTAATATGTTTGTATAACATATCAACTTCAAAAGATGAAAGACTAAGAAAAAGAGCTGCTTATTCTTTTAATATACAGATAATTATTAAATCTTTCTCATTCTAATAAATGTTCTGTACATAGTTCTATATACAATCAATTAGTAACTGATTGTGAATTAATTCAAAATTGATTCTATCTTCAAAGCTGAATTTTAATCTAGTTAAAATAGAACTTCATTATAATCTTAATCTGTAGAAAAACTCAATAGTTGTTGTTTTTATAGTATAGCTTGAAATCAATTCATATTAATAAAACTGATGTGAATTTCAGTCAGACTCTGACTATTATACTTATCACAAAATTTCTGTAAAGTAGAACTTTTGAGAAGAATGCTAAAAATAATCAATATTCAATTAATTAAAAAATAA